ATTATCTTTCTAGGAGATCATTAGATAAAGAGTTAAAGGCTTGTAGTGTATCAATGATATATTTTATTTGATTCTGTTGCTAGGTACATAGATTTTTCTCAAGTTCTAAAAGTAATTCCAGAGAACTAGTCATCCCATGGAAGAGCGCACTAACTGGTTGTCTGATATTAAATGGTTAGCACTGAAGCTCACATAAAAGTAACATTATATAGACTGCGCATGTTGTATATGTATATTACATACATATATATATATCAACAATTAATGAAAAAAGAAGCCAAGAATTTAAAAATAGAACAGAAGGTTATGTGCAATATTTTGAGGGGAGGAAAGATTTTTATAATCAATCAAAACATAAAATACAATATTAAAAATAATTCTCATGATATATTTATGACCAATGTAGTTTCCTGTTTTATTCTGCTATTACAAATGGTAAGAATTGTACAATTGAAGTAAATATTCAAATGAAAGAGGAAATTAATGCCAGAAAGTAGAGAGAGAATGCATAGGATGATATGAACACACAATGAAATGTGACAATGATATGGGCATGATTTATCTTTAGGAAAATAGAATAATAATGAAAAGCAAGGGTTGCATTTCTAGCCCATATGGAAAAATAACTCTCAGATACATCCATCAGATATGTAGATTTGTTTGGCTAGGTTTGCTTTTCCTTATCTGTGATTAAATATTTCTGGAAATGTAGACATTCAACACAGCAGTGAAAACTGATTCTGAGAATACCTCCACGGACAGTGTGGATGTTTTGGTGCATTTGGGCTGACATTACTCATTTTGTTGGCATAGTAATAGGACAAGAACTCCTGCCTACAGTTTATGGTTTGAATCCTGGTTTAAACATTACCCAACACTGGGCTCTTTATTCAAATTTTTAGTCTCCTGGAGCTACTTATTATTCCTATGTGTAAATTAGATCACCCTAGTACTTACCTTATGGGACTTTCATGAAGATGGGATCTCAAATAGATAAATGGTGCCTAGAGAGAATATGACACAAGTCAATGACAGCTATTTTCATTGTCTTTGGTTTTAAGACCCAAATTAATAGATATACAATGCAATGTCATTCATATGGCAAGAACCCACAAAGCTATTTCTATCAGAATTCTGTTTTGTAGATGCTGAGCCTAGACAGAGATACCTGATTATATACATCAGAGTTTCTACTTGACCTAATTTGTCTAAACTCTGTTCTTATTTATTTTCATATCTTGTACAAAATAATTAAAAAACATTGTTTTAAACCTGGAATCCTCAACATAACATATTCTCTTGGGTTTTTCTTTTAAATTTTCCTAGTGATTGAAATTGATTGATGTAATTTAATAAATTATTCATAGATCCGCTTAAACCCTTCAATAAAGGTGTCAGACAGTAATTTAATGTTTCATTATTGTTGCTGTCCTGTGCAAAGAATAACTAGTTTCTTCTAGAACTTTCAATTTTGCAAACTCTTGCTCAGCTACTGACTGTTCTTTGGTCAGAGCTGAAAGTCATTTTATTGTAACTTATCATGTGAGTTGAGAGTATGTTGGATGTAAATGTGTGAGTATCCTATCCCATTGCCACTTGGCTCCTTAAGAGAAGGGTAAGAGTTTGTCATTTTGTTTCTGGGGAAACTTATTCAAGTGGATTAAGGACTTCCTAGAGATCATATAGGAGATCAGTGACATTCCTAGGTATAGAACTTGGAATACCCTTGACCACATTACCACCTTAATATTTTGTCATGTCATAAGTGAATAACTTTCCCTAATATTCCCTAAAATTCTGTCAGCATTATGGGTTATACTGGTTATCGGGATCTTATCATTACTATTACTATGATTAAAATACCATGGTGAAAAACAACTTGGGGAGGAAAGGGTTTATTTTATCATATATGTATTGTAAACAGCCCATTACTGATGGAAGTCATAGTAGAAACTCAAGCAGGACTACAACCTAGAGGCAGGTACTGAAGCAGAGTCCATGGAGGAGGGTTGCTTTCATGGCTTGCTGCTTTCATGTTGCTTAGTCTGCTTTCTCATACAAGTCAGGACCACCTGCCATGTTCCCAGAGTGATGGGCCCTCCCATATCAATCATTAATCAAGAAAATTCTTCATAGATTTGCATACAAGTCAATCTGATGGTGACATTTTTCTCAGTTGAGAGTCCTTCTTCCCAAATGACTCCAGCTTCTATAAAGCTGCATAAATAATATTAATATTAATAATAATAATGATACATTCAGAATAACCAGCACCACAGACTCATTATCTCTTACAGTTAGGGTGTACAAAGATGCCTCTGTTGAATCTATTTCACAGTTTTAAGTACTTGAATGTATAAACATTTTATGAGAGGAGAAAAATAATGACCAGTATTCAAGATGGAGAAAACCCATTTCTATTTCCGAGCAAATGGAACGGTTGAGAATTTACAATTTACTTAACATACTTGTGTATTACTTTTGATTCTGGTAGTAGTGAGCTGTATCTTCATTTATGTCCTGTGCCATATGCCAGCAGTAGTAAAAACTGCTTGGCTTTTAACACTCTGCATAGGGCACATTTCCTAAGACAGAAAGAAAAGAAAAAAAAAACTACTTTCAATTGCTAAGATACAAAAATTTGTATAGCTCAATAATTGAAAATCTAGCCTCTGTGCTGAAGAAATAGCTTGGTGAGTAAGGAAGACCTTAATTCAATCCCCAACTGTCAGTCACAACAGATCCATGGGGATTTTCACCTCTGTCCCTCACAGCCACTGTGACCCATGTGTTCATACACACCCACACACAAATACACCCCTGAAGCCTCTCTACACACACCCCCACACACATACACAAACACATATTTATAATTAAAAATAAACCTTTGTCTTCAAAGGAAGTTAAATGGAAAAATGAAAATGTGCTGAAAATATGAATATACATAAATAAGTTTTCTTTTGAATGAGCAATATGTCATTTGTTGAACGCTTAAGACATGTGAGGCTTATGCTAAGGTCTTTTAAGGAAACTACACCAGAAAGCCTTGCTGTTGGTTGTATTTGCTATGGTATATGTCAGGCAAGGCATCCTGATCCTGTGAGTCTTAGTCTCACCAGGTTGCGATCCTAGGTTTGCTTAGTAATAAGCTAATGATAAATGACAGTCCATACATATTGATTCTTTGATCTGTATTTTTGTTGGTATTGTCTACTTACCATTATTTTAAATTTCTTAAAGACATGGCCTCTCTATGTATTCCTGGCTGGCTTAAAACTCTCTATGTAGTCCAGGCTGGCCTCAAACTACCAGATATCCTTCTGCCTGTGCCTCTTGAGTGCTGGGATTAAAGGTATGCATAACCATACCCAGCCTAATTTCTTTATTTAATTTAGCTAAGCTTTTTTTGTTACTATATACTATTGATCCAGTAAGAAATATTTTTACTATTTTTGAGCCTAATATTCAGAAAATCACATAGGTTTCTGATATTCCTTTCCCAATCATAGATGCCCATTCACTAGAATCCAGAAATACTTGCAGATATCATATTTTCAATGTAAATAGTCTAATAAGACTCTTCAGCTGGGTGTTCGTGGCACATGCCTTTAATTCCAGCACTTGGGAGGCAAAGGCAGGAGCATCCCTGTGAGTTAAAGGCCAGCCTGGTCTACAGAGTGAATGCCAGGATGGCCTCCAAAACGATACAGAGAAACCCTGTCTCGAAAAACTGAAAAAAAGAAGAAACATCAACATTCATGTTTTGTTCTTTACAAAGCACTCCCCTTTCCACCTACATATACCTACTATTAGAAAGTATCTGACATTCTACTGTGTTAATATGTGTGTGTATGCATATGCATGTTCATTGATATATATGTGTGTGTGTGTGTGTATGCCTCTCTCTCTGTGTACATGCATGTGTCTATATATGTCATATATGAGTGTGTGTTTGTATGTTTGTGTGTTTGTGTGTTTGTGCATGTATGTTTATCTGGATGTGTATATGTGTATCTGAGTGTGTATGAATGAGGAAGTGTGTGTTGCTGGGCCTGGGTCTGGACCTCACAGACAGTGTAATTGCAAGGACAGCTTCATGAAATTTTATGGTCTTTAAGGTATCAAGTCATTTTCACTTCAGTATTCTTTTTTTTCTTCTACTTGACAAAACTGACAGATTCCAGGTGTTGAGGTTGAGAATTCGGTGGTGTTGGAGTTTGCATGGTTTCCTGCCAAAGCCTCATTTCTGATGCAATGAGAAGATGCAATTTGCATGCTGTTAAGAATAAAACATATCCAAAGAGTGCTATCATGCCAAAGCAGATAGTTTTTGTTGCTTGAGCAGCACCTCTAGATCTGGTATGCTAATAAGGGAGGATGTCTTTCATAAATCCCGCCCTTCCCTCTTACTCTTCCATGGGAGCAGTGTATATGTTAATAGGAATCTGAAGGTTTTGCTTGTACAAAATATACATTTATCTATGTTCATATAAGCATTGTTTATGTAATTGTTTATGAATGTATATACAGTGCTTTATTAAGTGTATGTGTATGTATGTGTGCATACATGCACACATAGATAAGTATGCATAGTGTCATTTCAAGTAGATTCTGTTTAACTATCTTTTGAAGTGTTCTATTAATATAATTAAAAGTATATGAAGAATAAGCATTTTAACAAGTATGATGCTTCAGATTCAATTTAAAATTTTGATGTATTACAAAGTAGTAGCAGGCTATTTTATAGAGTACAATTAAAACATCAGACACCAATGTCTACCTTTCTAACCTTAAATGTAGTTGAATACTTAGAGACAAATACTTTAAATCATGTACCTTTTCCTCTTTGGATCAAATAGGAAAGCTGAGATTGAATGACTTAAGCTCTAGGTATCTTGATTTTAATTGAATTATTTGTATAAATGTCCCATAGTGATGGCTTCTTGCTAAGATGCTGCCTCTGTGGAGGAATGATTTTAAATTGAACCATCACATTTCAGGCTAAAATGACTCAACTGCCTGAGGCAGAAAGGGAGAAGATTGCAGAGCAAGTAGCTGATTTCAAGAAGGTGAAGAGCAAGCTGGATGCTGAGATCGAGATCTGGGATGACACAAGCAATGACATCATTGTTCTTGCCAAGAAGATGTGCATGATCATGATGGAGATGACAGACTTCACAAGGTAATTGTGTGGGAAACGAGGTGTGATGATTGGTGATGGCTACATGTTTGTCACATTGCTGAAATTTCCAACTTTCTCTGAGTGGCAAGGGAAATGTAAATATAGAATTAGAAAGCTGCAGATGTATAATCCTAGAATGGTGGTAAATATAGCACCATTTCTTATGAAACCATTGCCACATACTCTCTTACCTTCACACTGTGCAGCAGGGATCACGTTGTATTGTGGTAACAATTCTCTGTCTACAGAAATTGATAACTAGGGCATGTACTCTCTGAAGCTTGTGAGTGGTTTATACTTATTGTGACATCATCAGGACTTGTGAATTGTGGCATTCCTGAAATATAAATCAGTATATTTGAAACACCAATGCATAATGATGGCTATGAAGTAATTATGACACACACATACACACACACATACACACATACACACACACACATACACACACACACACACACACACACACACACACACACACACATACATTCCAGAAGCAATTCAAATGTTTTTGAGACTTTGTGGTAGCACAGACAAACTGTCCCTATTCTCTGTATAGTCTCTGTGGCAGTGGGAACCCTGTACATGTATCCTGAAAACTAAATGGTCTACACGGCCCATATCCCTTATTCCTGCCTGCCACAGTGGGGCTTAGATCCTGTGGCTGTGGGATGCCCACTTGAAAATGAGAATTCCTCAATGACTGAAAAACTGGCACTTGTCACCAACCTTTTATATCTCTATAAACAGGCTTTGTTTTCTCTATTTTCTGGCACTAACTGCTTGTTCTTTACCTCATTAATTGACCCAGTTCAGTGTGGTGGTAGTAAATAAAACCATAATAAATACTCCAGTTTGATGCTAAGAAGTTGCAGAGACCCAACATACAAAGGCTACTCCACATAAAGAAAGGGTTCACAAAAAGAGGCTCAGAAGCCCAGGCTGAACAAAATGAGAAGGAAGAGGCAACTGTGGAAGTTCTTGAGGAGGAGATAGCCAAATGAGAACAGGCAGTGGTTACTGAGTCCTAGGTCAAGGACCACTGACTCACTTGTCCAAGAAATCTTTGTGTAGGGTTGTTTAAGCATGTATACTCAATGAGGGAATCCTCTTGGTGGCATTGGCGTATTTTGAAAGCGCTTTGATGAAGATGTTGGTCTCTGTGTTGTTCGGAGTATGCTTTCATTAAAATTTCCCTTAGTTCTTCATGAGCTAAAATCTACTTACTGGAATATTCCAGTGAGTGGACTCTTGTCAATGTCACTCTATGTAGTCAATGACAAAAATTCTATGTCTGGGCTTTGGGTCTTCCCAGGCCAAAAATTTGCCTACTTGCTGAGTCTGGATTGAAAGGTGGACTATGAAACCTATGCACGTGGAAACTAAACCCAGACAGTGAGGAGACTCTTACCCTGATTCCAGAATATTTCTACTGGGAAGGGAAAGTCTTCAATAAAGGCAAACTCTTCAAGAGAACATCTTTTACAGTTGCCGAGCTACCTCTATTCATCCTTTAAGGAAATCAAGGCCATTAAGGGAAACACAATGCTGAAAAGCAGGTTGTAAATGTCTTCACATAATTAACCAAAGAGCAGCAAGATGTGCAATGGTTCTCTTACCAGTTGCTAAAGAATACAAAACTAAAACAAAACTTATGTAGTCTTCATGAAGCTACAACATTCCCAAAACAGAAAACTACCCTGTGACTCACATGTTACATGTATGAAATTATTATATCACAGTGTACTACATGGAAAATAACTTTATGATAGAATAATGAATAGATGTGATTTTAAATCATAATTAATTGGTAATACCCATTGCTTTTCAGTGGGAAAACTGAGAACAAGTTTCCTAATGTTAAACGCAATTAAGTAGAAAATTGAATGAACTAAAAATTCTGTTTCAGCTAACAGTCCTAAACAATACTAAAATGTCACATGGTAAACATTGTAATAAGTACTAGCTACTACATGTTATACTTTTTATATAAATGGCAAAAGAGATGAGCACAGAAATCACTACTTTTAAGTGGTTTAACTAGCAAATATTTGAAGATATTTAAAGGAAAAGTAAGCGTGATAATTGTACAGTTATTCAAAAATTTAAAGGTTCAAAACCTTTAAAAAAGGCATCATAGAAAGTATGTTGGGAAAAGGACACTTTAGTAGATGCCTTAATTTAGAATGTAGTATATGTTGAAAACCTTTGTAATCTATAGTTCACTTCAAGAAATGTATTTACAAAGAATAATCTTAAACATGATTTTTAAAAGTTAATTCAACCAGTATTATTGGTTGATTTTTATTTAATATTTTATTGAGCTTGATCTTAGACAATTTTACATGCTTACACAGTGTGTGCTGATCACTCTTGCCCTTCACGTCCCTCTCCTCCATGTATTCTCCTCCTCTCCATCAATTTCCCTCTCATGAGCATGTCTGCTCATTATGTGTTGTTAACTGAGATTGAGCAGGGCTTTCTCTGTTGGTTTTGAGTGATCTATTGCTGTCTCGTGGATTGAGCAGTGAGTAGCCATCTAAGGGCAATGGCAATGAACATACTGTGTACAGTTGTAAACATATAGTCACTCTCCTAGTGCCATTCATGTAAAAATAGGATGAGCTGCTGGATAAGGAAGAGTATACCAACAGTAAAGCCAGTTCTTCAACAGGATGTTTTCAGAATGTAAAATAATTGATGAAACAGAAAAGTACTCTGACCTCTATTTTATGAAACAATATCAGTGGCTACTCTATCCCTGTTCATGCTTTTTCTTTTTCAGTACAAAAATTATCCTCTAAAACAGACTCTGGTTCTATTTTTTAATCCATTGAAGGAAAATCCACTTGTCAAAGCTAAAAGAGAGTGAAGATGCCACTCCAAATTTCACTGGAAAGTACAAAAATTAGACTTATACATAGCATTTCATTATGAATGTCTTTTAGTTATCAGTTTCTATTTTTTCCTATTTAAACTTTGACAGTTTTTTCTAGTTATAGCCTGTAGCTTGATAATACCCTTTCATTCCTATTCATGCACAGAATAATTGAGTTTTGGTTTATGCTTCAGTGTCTACAGGCAGACATTCTAACAATCTCCTGATATTGTCCTTTCTTCATCTCTTACCATGTATATGCTTCTCTTTCTCCCCTTATCTCTATTTCCCCCAGTCACTGAATACACACACACACACACACACACACACACACACATATATATATATGTATAACATAGACATTTATATAGTTCACTATAGGAACCAATACTATTCCATAGTATTAAGCAGTAGTATATTTTGAAATTTCATCGTTGATGATTTAATCATATTTTACGCTTTCTAAAATTTGTTGATGCTGTATGATAAATATGGAGTCATTTTATGTTTCTAATTTAGTTTGGATTGGCCCCTAAGCTAGCAGAACTTACCAAAATTTCAGTTATATTCCACACAGACTTTCCCCAAATTAAGAGGGAATAAGCCGTCATACAAAATAACTTTTAGACAGCTAGAATTTTACCTTTATAAGATGTAAAAAAGAGTATGCATTTAAAATTACCTTGTATGATATTGTTTTAGTCAGTGTATTATTCCTATGAAGAGACACCATGGTCATGTAAACTACTATAAGAGAAAGCATGTATTTGGGGCAGACCTACTGTTTCAGAGGTCTGTCATCATGGCAGGAAGCATGGTGGCATGCAGGCAAACGTGGTGCTGGAGACACAGTTAAGAGTTCTACATCTGGATTTGTAGTCAATAGTATGAAAGAGACTCTGGTCTCAGAATGGGCTTTAGAAACCTCAAAGCCCACCCCCCAGTGACACACTTCCTCCAGCAAGGCTACTCCCTGGTGACCAAGCGTTCAAATCTGTAAGCCTATGGGGGCCATTTTCATTCAAACCAGCACAAATATATTCATTACATTTCAGTAAATCTGTTGCTTGTCCTTTGATATTGGCATGTGTCTATAGAGCAGGTGTTGAGATCCTGAAAAGACTCCATGGGCAAGGTATTGAGGAAATTATCCTAGATGAAGTACAGAAGAAAAGTGGACCCAACCAGAACAAGTGCTGTAATGTGGAACAAAGATCTATAACATACTGCTTCATAGCATTGATGATTAGACACATAAAATCAAGGGACTTGAAATTGAGAACTTCAGTGGACTTTGACTTTTGAGGGAATAGGAAATGTAGCCAGGTGACCAGCAATGCTCCCCTATTTGGGAAATACTCCTAAGAAATGATAGAAAATTGTAACACATACCAAACACATTATTCTCACCACTGCCCAAAATGTCAGTCATTAGAAAATGAGAAGATCATTATATTGAGAAAGGAGAATGTCCTTGTCTTTGGCACCCTACCCAGAAGTAGGAAAACTCCTGCTCATGACATGCCAGGAGAATACAAGATGGCATTTTAGGTGAGAATCTAGCTTGTCAGATATCCCATCCCTCTTTGAAACAAACACAAAATTGAAAACAAAACTGATGCCTAACAATTAAAAAATTAAAATTTATAAATCCATCTGCCTACCTCCTTCTGTTGACCACAATAGATGTGAATGTACATTTTATAAACATATGTTAAAAATCAAAATAAAGAGACATGAGCCATTGGGTGAAAGATACAATGATTTAATAAAAATTAGGACATTAGTTAAAAGATTTTTAAAAAGTTAGTAACAAATTATCAAGCATTCAAAGAGGAACAGCATCAAAGAAAAATTTTATAAGCCTCATTAAAATAAGACAAATAAGACACTTAACCAAACTGCTATGTGCAATTGGATAAATTCAATATAAAGTCTGTGAGATAATGATAATGAAGTATGAGATGAGAGGGAAAGAGGCTAAAATTACATAAAAGCAAAGATGATCCCAGCACACATACAATTAAAGTTTTGAAGACTAAGAATAGAATATTGTTTGGGGATAAATTAACATTTTCCATATATAAAGCTAAACCTCAATTTGCATATCAAAAATCTTACC